AGGAAGTCACTGCCTGGTACTTTGATTAAACAAGAACTGGTCACAAATTGCTGTTACTGGCATGAATGTAAAATAGAGTTGTTTTCAAATTATATGTAGCAATGGAGGATGTGATAGTATCATTATCTGTAACAGGAACCAGAAGTCACTCATCATGAAAGCCAAACTCGTTCAAAACACTCTGGGTATGCTATGGTTTGGGTTTGTTTTTTCCTTCTGACCAGTTCTAACCCACCAGTTCTGCTTGTACTCTTTATAGATATCTTTTGCACTATAATATTCTAGAGATGACATGCATACATAGAGGTACCTTTACAGTTACATTACAAACACAAGCATTTATGCATAGTTAAGACTTATTACTCAAGAAAGCAATAATTTCCAATATCCATAAGCAAGAACTGCAATTCTAATTTCCATGGTGAACCTAGCTGCCTATTTTATAAGGTAAGTTAGCATACTAGTTTAACAAGACAAGCTGGACTCAACCTAATATAGTTAAAAAGGTCCCTGGGCACTGCAGGAGGGACTGGACTAGGTGCCTTTTAGAAGTCCTTTCCAACCCCACACATTCTATGATTCTATGTTAACATGAGTGAGTAACATTTCACATGACAATACTTCTACTTTACCATATACATACAAATGTCAGAGCATGGAAATACTGTTACAGAAATGCAACAACATGCATGTCAAAATTTCCACAGAAGTAGAATAATGTTCTCTCAATGAGAGCACTGTATTTTCTTCAATCTTAGTACTTATTGCTGCTCATAGCAGTTAGGGGCAGGGGAAGTTAATAGCATGAAAACATAATCATCATTTGCCTTGCCAGCACTAAGTTGCAAAGAGTGGAAAGATCTGAAGTACAGTTCTGGAAATAGCTTATTTAGGGTCTTCCTTATGCGTATTTAACAACTTATGCCCACACACCAGCTAACTTGAGATGTCTCACATCCTGCACGTCAAACTACGTGTTTCCACTACTATTTTCTCATCCTGGCTATACAAAAGTCTCACAGATTTCTGAAAGGAAACTGTTTTCTATGCATAAGAGAGTCAATTTATTTTCACATCCTGCAACAGCTGTGTAGCAGCTTCTCTTTCTTCTACCAAGAGAAACTACTCCAAGTGATTTCACACCTACCAGTGGATAAAACCATGCAAACATGAGAGGTTTCTGTTAGTTGTTTCCTATACTTACTCATGTGGCCTTGCTACTCTGCCCACAACATGACTAAAGACACAAAACATGTGGCTTCACTAAGGTCACACTGGAATTAAGGTCACACTGATAAATCTGTAATTCACAAAAATACAAACTCTCAGGACATTATTTTGTCCAGAACTAAGAGCTGTACAGTCATCTTCATACAGAACTAGACTCGGCAACACTTACAGAGCCAGTGTCAAGAAAAGGGAACAAGCTCCTCTACAAATGGTTAGCTGCAAGAACTATTTTTACAACTCAAAGCTGTGAAGCCAAACATACTGCTCCCTACGTCAATGTAGCTGGTGATCCACTTCCACTCTGAAACTGACAGGCTCTACTCCACTTTACCTTCACTTATGCATTTTTAATACTAGTTTTCTGTTCTCCAGAGAACACACAAAAAAAAAAGGCTAGACTTTAAGCTGTGGGGGAATGGGAGGAGACACTATACAGACTAAAGTATACAGTGCACTGAAATTCATGGCATTTCTGTTCTACACACAAACATGCAGGCTACACAGACTAAACAGCTGGACTGCATTATGGCTAATTGTACATATAGTTTGTTTACAGCAAGCTGGTATTTGTTCACAGCTTTTAAAACATTTTGATACATGAAAAACCACCAAAGTTGTGGCTTAGAATGGAAAGAGAGATACTGTTAAAACAGCAGTTTTTGAACTTGGAAAATGTGCAAAATAAATGTAGGTGCATGCGTGACTTGAGAAGCACTAGTCTTATCACACAAAAAAGGCCCTGCAGTTGGAGGAGACAAATCTGAATTTACATTAATGTTTGTATTTCCATATATATTTTTATTATGAAGGCTCCAAAATGCCACCAAGTATTGACTTACTGAAATTAGGGGGTGGGATGTTAGTGACATTTTCAGAAAGCAATTTCTTCAACAGAGCAATAGTAGGGAAAAAAAAAAATAAATCTCAAAACACCCTGTTTATTAAGAAGCACTTTTATAAAATCTTCTTGTAATAAACCTGTACCTTCCATGTTACAGTAACATATAATAGCAAAAGTGTCAGCATTTAGGAATGTTGCAACTTCTTATTCAACCCACCAGATTATGTCTATGAACACTTTAGTTCCCACTACTGTGCTTCTTCCAGCATTGATTCTCTTGACACTGACATCTAATTGATCTTTTTTTTCTCTCTCCCTAGCCTCAACACACAAGTTCATTTAAGACAAAGTGCTTTGTATATTGACATAGTCACTTATTAAGGCACTTGAAAAGAGTGAATCAATTGCTTGTGACTGTGCATCTGAACACAGACCAATTCAAAGTGTCTGAGTGAATCTATTTGAACAATGTAAATGTTACCATAACCAAAAGCAGAGCAAGATATCTGGGAAGAAGCGTCACACCCACAAAGCAGATACCATATTCTTATGAGCAGTGGCTCTAAAAAAGAAAAGCTAATATGCAGAGGATGAACAATGTAGCATAACCTCCTGATGCAACAGCACAGGTGTCAACACAGTCTTTCACTACATCAGGTTTCCTACACTGGAGCAGCAACGTCAAACCTGTTTGACATCATGTGATGTACACAGCAGCAATACACACACTTCAGACACAATTCACAAGATCAGAAGAAGAAAACCTTTGGGTTTTGAGGGCAGGAAGAGTGTCTTACACCAGACAGAACAAACAATTTCTTAATCAAGAGGGCAATCAGCCTCAGAATTTTGCAAAGAGAAAACTAAACTGAACTCAGGTAACAGAAAAAAACTTCAGAAAACAGAAATAGCTTGTGTCATAAAAGCCTGACCACGCAAGATGGCTCCTGCTATGAAAAAAAAGGAAAACAAAAAGACCCAAATATAACAGCGTGAGGGATTTTACTTCCCCTGCATCTTGAATGGCCTTGGCTGCATCCAGGTGCACAGTCTCCTCCTCCCTCTCTCTCCTATTAATGTTACCAGTATAGTTATACTATAACACACTTGGGTACCCCTGATTCTCAACTGAATTACACAGCATCTGAAGAATAATGGAGAAGAACAAGACACTTCCAACAAGAAGGCACTCAAATAGATGACAAGCAGTTTGCCTGAAGTTACTCCTTCGCAAAATTTATGAAGAAGAAACTGTGATTATATGTATTACAGGGCCAGCATAATGCTCCTCCTATGTAAACTTTTATAAAAGAGACCATATTTTCAAGCTTTTCCCTTCTTTGGAAATGCAACTTCCCAAACTAGATTGCCATAGTAATTCTCTGTTATTTAGGATATACTAGATACCTTTATTTTAACCTCTACTTCTATATAAGCAAGGGCTTTTTTCTTCCCTTGTCTATGCAGAAGTACCTTGTGTTAAGCACGATCAATTTCTGACAGATGCCTCTACCACTATTCAAAATACTGAATAATCATTTTGTTAATAAGTGATCCTTCCTAGGTCAAATTAAGTGGTATGTCAGACTAAGTCAGATTTAACAGAAGTAGCTCTTGCAAATATTTCAAGCTTACCCAGAAATCAGGTTTCGTTGGAAACTTTATAGGAGGAAAAAAAACGGCAAGGGTAACTTGCAAAGCAGAAGAAATGTGGTTCCCACTCTACATTAAAAATAAGTTTTACTAAGGGAAAATGAACCTACAGTCAATGCTTTTGGCTCAGCCTGATATGAGAAATTATTACGGTATTTCAAGAATTTTGTGTTTAACCTGACTATTAACTGGACATCAATTAAGAAGTGATAAACAGTTAAACAGTCACAGTTGGGTCTGTAGTTCTCATCCTGTGTGTGACCACAGAATGACAATACTGGCATCTGGCTGAACACTGGGAAGAACAAATCAAACACCATACAGTCAATGAACTGTTACATTCACTGTAATACAAAAACGCTCCATGTACAGTTTTCAAGAGATCTCACTTCATGTCAAGGTGCTGTAAGTTACAATTAAGCAAACTAGTAACTTATATTAACTGATCCACACACCAGGTATGTCCCCCCAGCTGCTACCATGAGTAAAGCATTTACTTGTCAACATGTGAGACCTTTGCATGCTGCTGTTGGGAAAAGCAGATTTTCCTTCTGTTGACCCACGAACTTTGAAAAGTCTAACTGTTCCTGTATGGGGGACATGCAGCAGTCTGTAGTCCATAATGTACAGCCTGCATTTAAGGCAATGTACACCTTCAGATACCTAATCTGAGAGCAAATACTTCCCACTTAATTGCTTTTTGTCTGGTGTGTCAGATCATTAAGGTGGGGTGGGGGGATAAGAAAAAAAGAAAAACATTCTTCCATCAAAAACAAAGTCAGCCACTTCTCTAACTGACTAGGACAATGCATGAACTTGCTTCACCTTTTTCAATCACAGAAACAACTCCTACTCAAATTCTGTAAAAGAAATATATCCATTCTCTCTGGTTGAAGATGCATGGACCACCCAATTGTAACAGACATTTTAAAAAAAGTTATAGTACCTTAAAAAGGTTAGTATACTAACACAAGTGACTTGAAAATAAAGTAAATTTGCTAAAAGTACATTTATACAGAACTGAGGTACAAACATATTGAGGTAGTCACGGGCTTATATGACTGCAGGCTGGAAAAAATAATAATGCTCCATTTTGATAGTGTTAGATTATTAGTTTTTCCAGCAAGGACAGTAGCTGAACAGGCACCCATATCATTAATATTCCATAGAAGTGTTCCCTAATGAAAACACAAACTACTTTAACTAGTATCTTTATAAGGTTATGTCTACAGAACCTGCCATGCTCCAACTGTGCCTGAAAAGCCTAGAGACATACCTGATCACTGCTTTTTGCAACACTGGTGGTCTGAGCCGTATTTGAAGAAAGGGAATCAAAGAAGGCTTGGTCAGCTAATGAGTTCCCACAGCTAGTTCTATCTTCAGTTATAATCTGAAATGGAAAAAGTTGCAAAAGATTTTTCATACTTCCATTAATCAAATTATGCTGTTTATCATATATAATGATATCATGTCACTAGATGTTAAGATAGATGCATATACTGTTTTTTAATTCAAATGGAGTAGTATCTTTTACAAGAAGCTGACGTGAGATTCTGGAGGATTTACTTCCACAACAGAGGGAACTGGTTTGCTTTATCACAGCATAACATGCAAGACTGTTGTGGCAGTAGACACCTAACTATAAATTCTTTAGGGATTAACAAGGTTGTTAACATTACTGCTTGAAAACTTGGAACTCAGTACTCAGAGAATCAGTTTGGGACAGCAATCCTGGAGAGCCAAAAGCTGCTAGACCATGAGCTAGCCAACTGAAGACAAAACCAAGGTTATACAAATAACCACCTATCCCCCCACATCCACCCAAAGTTTTGACATTTAGATTTTTTTTTATTAAAAACAGCACTGGTGAAGGAAGGGAGTCATATGTTTTAAGAGGAGGCTGAAGGAATTACAGAACAAGTCTTCAGCTAGCTGACAACCTGCAGACATATGGACACTGGGCTCCCCAAGAGTGAATTGTATGCCAGTCTTTGCATTGAGATGCCTATTAAATCCCCACCCCACCACCACCAGTCTTTAAATAAAGAGCAGATCAACACAAACTGAAGAGACAGCAAAGACTGTTAGGGAGCTGAGAAGCCCCTGGTTTTGGGATCCTATATCCTGAGCCCCAGAAATGGAGCTCCATTCCAGAAATATGTAATCATGTGGTTTATCAGCCTCTGCAACACCAGTGTAAACTTGCACTACTCATTTCATTTCTGTATCTGTATCTTCAGACAAGAAAACAATTATTGGATTATGAGACCCTCAAAACAGCCCATGTGCTGCAGATCACCAGTACTTAGTATAGACAACCTCCTGCTGCATCTTCTGGGAAAGCACGAAGAAGCAGAGTAGTTTTGTATGGCACATTTGCACTGGTCTCCCAAGCCAGTTACAGTTGCTAGAGTAAGATTATATATTCTGAGCATTACAGTCTCATCAGCCAGGGGACGGTCACTTACCTCAACATAATCTGTTGGAACTAGTCCCCTCTCGCCTTGGCTGTTTCTTCCTTCTAACCAGCCTCCACCAACATCCTAAAAGTAATAATATAGAAATAGTTTTGCTAGATGGAGCCCACAATATGCTTTAAACAGCTCAGGAGGAAGTACTGCCTTGCTGTCAAATGCAATGTTTGAAATACAGTTATGAATGTATCACCACAAAGAAATGTGCTTAAATCTGCTGAAGCAGCAGCTACTCATTTAAACAGAACACAGACTGTGCTTGTTTCACACAGCAATTGTGGACTTCAATTTTAACAAGCACAGGGTGGGGGTGGAGGAAAGTTTGATTTTCAGTACTTTTGATCATTTATGAAACTACAGTCAATTATCTGGACTGCATCAAAGCAGTAGTATGCCAGTTCCAAATCATTAATTTTAATCAACAGATTATAAAGAAACAAGACTTAAGGAATTAAGTTATTGGTAATATCTGTAAAATCTCTGCTTCATTTATTGAAGGTGCAGAAATGTGTGATGAGTGGGAGCTATAACCCACAAGAATACAAAGGATAGTCTCAAGATTAAGAGAGGCACACGAAAGATTTGGAGACACTCTATGTTACATTTCGTTTTAGAGGCAGGTCTCATGCTACTGGTTGGGAAACAAAAAACAGTTCAGTTCTGATCTCAGTGGAGCATCCTGTTATTGTTTTTTTAAAAACACATATACTAAGACACATAACACATATACCTTTTAAACTATACTAGTTTAAAAACTACATATACTAAGAAACTTCTGCAGACCTTTGCAGTTAAGCAAAGTCAATTCTAGGACATTATCTGGAATAAGCCAGATCTGGTTTAAATCAAGTTGTTCCTTGAACACAACTACATGTCAAACTAACACACCCCTGAAAATTTGAACTACATATGCTAGACAGCGACTATTGAATTCCAGGTTGTCTAAATTTGCACCACTGCACTTAAGAGTAATCATGAATGGACTTTCAAGACTTATGCTGGCATTGTCTGAACTTATCATAAATAATCAAGAGCCTTTGTGGCAATTTATCCCACAGTTTAATTACAGACAATATAAAATAAAGTTTCACTTGGATTTAAACATCTTGCCTTAACACACAGATGTCTTGTTTGGCAAGAACCATCTTACAAGTGGTAAACTATTTATTTAGTCCTACTTTTGTGAAACAACATTAATCTCCTGAACTCATTTAAAATGTTACCTCTGCTACAGCAGAGTGTTCAGTCCAAGAGGGTGCCAGTTCTATTAAATATTGGCTTTGAATATTTAGGGTCAGTGGAACTAAAAATTATCAGGTTTGTTAATTACTAGGCTCTTCAAATAATTAGTTCATTCTGCAGAGCCCTTGTTTCCTATACAACCAGATAAATAAAACCTGGCATCAAGATCAGGCATTTTTTTGTCTGAAGGCATTTTTAAAAGGAAAGTCTACTTACTAAGACATATCACTACACAAAAAACAAAAGCAGAATCAAATAATACTTACACCTTGTTACCAAGGGTAAGAATTTTACAGGACAATAAAACCACACTCAAATACAAATTGTACACACAAATCAAATGTCAGTGCTCAGAAGTACCATTAACTTAAGAACTCCCTGATATTATTACCATAGAATTTTCACCACTCCCTGTATCTTGTCCATATTGATTTAATTATAAAAGGACACGAACATTTGGAAACAAAATTTTCTAACAGGTTACTTGAACAAACTCAGACTGCTGAATTCACTGATTAAGGAACTGAATAGAGAAGAGAGCTGGCACACCAGATTTAAATGCAACACATTCAGATGTAGATGGTATCACCATCTATAGCTCCTTCCTCTGCCTTGGCACTGAGCTCTGTTTAGAGAAAAATAAAGCTGAGTAAATTCTTTAGTGTGTAGGCACAACCTGAGAGGGCCTCTGTCATCCAAAACTGCTCATTGTATTTGTTTCCACAAAGCTATTAGAAAATTCTTTGTGTTTAGTTTATTCACTAATTCTTCAGGAGAATGTAGCCATGGCTTTCAGATGTCACCTAGCACCTTTTTTCTTCCATCTGCTAGAAGTAGGTCAGGAGAGTGCACAAAAGCCTTGATTCCATCTGTTTTCTTACCGGGTTCGTAATTACAATGATCTCCCCTTCAGTGACAGTCAGCTCATTGTTTCCAGGCTCAGCAGCAAAATCATACATAACACGAGCCTGTATGTGGGGAAAAAAATAATATATATTGCAGTGAGCTTTCCAGCTTATTCAGAAGAGTTAATGAAGGAAGTATCAGCACAACTTATTCTTAACTAGCAGAAATAGTAAGTTGGGTAAGGCTGGCTGAACAAAAAGCAACTCAGCATGTAGGAAGCTAACACTTCCTATATTTGAATTCCAAACTGAACACTTAACACAAACTTTAAAAGATAAGAAACCCCTCTTGCAGAGCTTTTTAGATATTAGGATTATTTTCCAGGAGGATTCACAGTTTAAGACCAGCTATTGACTGTACCACTTCTTCCAAGGGAAGAAGGAAAGGATTCCAACTCCAGTTTGGGTAAAGGGAACCATTTCACAGAGCAGGCAATTCAGAAAAAGAAAAACAAGTAATTGCAGATGTAAGTAACCACTGCTGCAACATGTGAAATTATGCTTTAAGACTCTTTGTATGCAGAAGGAACTATACAAACGCACAGTGAGAGCAGGCCTGTTACATATTGGCATGGGAAGGCAAGGAAAAACAAAACCAACACAATTTTTAAGTGTTTAGACACACAAAGGCTTTGCTGTGTACTGACTCTGCTATTATGCTACATGGAGAAACGTTATGTTTGACAAACTGACAAAGTTGTCTAACATTTAAAGACTCGTTCTGCTTCTTTATACAAAGAATTGTGACATGGCCTAAGAATTGTATTCCCAAACATCTTTTCATTGTCTTCTATTAAATTATTTTCTGATCTAAAAGTAGAGAAAGCTTTCAGAAACTACAAGGTGACTATTTTCTCTCAAACTGTTGAAAAGGATGCAGAGAAAAACCAAGTGTATTTCATCTAGACTCTCAAGAGTAAGATCTAGAGTAGAAATTTTAGCTTTCCATTTCAAGTGATATATTAGATAACTTTAAATTTGACCACAAAAATCTCTTTTTCAATCCTTAAAAAAAATGAGCATGGCACTAGAACTTAAAAAAGATAAGGCTTATTATGCACACCTCAAGTCTTTATATTAGCCAGGTGTCCCAGAAAGGACTAATACATTATTTTATCTGATTAATACCATTGCTGAAGTATCAAAGAGCAGCCAAAGGGAAGGCTAGACTAAAGGTCAGGAAAACAGAGAAAATACATACTTTAACAGACAGTACTGACAGTTATACAAAGAATATCAATACTCAAGATAAGATTACATCATAGACCTTATTTCTCCAGCTCATAAAGAGCAGCAGAAACTTTGTATCAGGAACCAAAAACTTCTCTAGCACATCCTGAAAGAGGCAAAGATAAAGTCTCATTCTCACCAGTAAGGCATGCTTTAGTTAACTCAGCTCATACAGAAGTAGGATTTGTTTCTGCAAGTTAAAAACCTAAATTCAAGAAAAATAATTTAATAATGGTGTAACTAAGAACATTAGACACTGTGTATAGCAATGAGGTCCTTCTTGTGCTTGTAGGTCAGGGGAAAGAAAACAAACCCCAGACCTAATTGTTGCTTCCATAAAGATTATAGTAAAATAATTATTTCTGTTGAAAGCAAGTTATGTGACAGGGAAAAAAAATACCAGAGGACAGACATTCATAATCAAGCCTTGCCTGTCTCAAAACTGAAAGTTATGATCCCTTCTTCAGACATAAAACCAGAAAAAACATAAAACTTTCCACATTTTCATTTCATAAGTATCATGTGAAAATACTTATGGCTAGTCAAAAGATACTTTACTTCAGTGTAAACAAAGCAGAGAAAAAAAAAAGCTGAGTTGTAGTTCAGCTGGCAATGCTAATACTGAATGATGTGCACAACAAATCAAGCACTTGATCTTCTCTGCTTCTAGAAGCACAACATGGCTGAAAAATCCCAAGCACTTGGAATGCTTCCTTGGCATGAAAGCTTTTCCCTTAGAACTGAGGCTTTCTGCACTTTCAGATTATGCCATGTAAAACCAAGATGAAGAGAAAACAGTTTTCACTAATAACACTAAGTGCTTTCCTTCCAGCAGAATATCAGGCCTCCATACAAACAAAAAAAAAAACAACCCTGCCTTACTTCCCTTAAGAAGTGAACTGAAGCAGCAAACCTTTAGAAACACAGTATTTTAAGGTGTGTAAAGAGTGCCACCCTCCAGGCCTCTCTCCTCAACAGCAGTGGATGAAGGTGTTGAGTGTGTGCTTTTTACAATAGGTTATTAATATGTTACATATTGTTAACATTAATATGTTAATATGTTAATATGTTGCATGTGATTGTAACAATGCTCATATGTCAAGCATCTCAATGACAGGGAAAGCAGCTTTCTTAACCAGGGAGCCTTCTTAGCCTTCTTCAAGTAGTAGACCACAGTGTTAAGCTTTTGCTTTTACTTATAGAATGAAAGTTCACCAGGACAAGGGCAGACTTGACCAGCCTTCAGGAAAACAACCCACAGTAGTGACTAGACTGGAAAGGTAAGATACACTTGTGTCTCATAAAAGAATAGACACAAATACCAGGTTCTCCAAATGTAGCAGGGAAATAAAGTTACTCTGAAAAATCTGGAAGTATTCAACTTGTAGGGAAGGAAAGACCAAGAGAAACATACAAAATTTAATAACATCACGGTGCCAAAGTCTGTCTATTCACCTACTCTGGATGCCTTTTTCAAAAGCAGAAGAGGGGAAAACAATTACAAGCCTAAGAACTTTTGCCTTACTAACTTTAAGAATTGGAAAATAAATTTTAAAAAAATCACAATACTACAAAACTCAGCTTACTAAGTGCATTGTTAACAATGGAAAACCTTCTAGCCTTTCCCTGGACAGAGGCATCAGTCCCAACCATATTTACATTTTTTACAATCATTTGCAAAATACTATAAAAAAGAAAATGGTATGGTTTTGGAATAAACATTTCCCTCTTCACTAGCCATTTACATTTGATCCAAGTATTAGCTACAGCTTAGAGACAGATCTTTCCCACTTATGCTAAATAGTACATGGGCATGGAAAGCAGAAAGCGTTTCTCAAGAAAAGGATTTTGGCTCCTGGACACCACAATATGTGCATCGAAAATTAGGTCTAAGTTTATGGTCGTTTTGAATATCTATAAAATGCGAATCTGACAAATCCAAAAGATCACAGAATAAATACCACAAAGGCAAAATACAGGTTTTAAATAAATAATAAAAAAACACCAATGTAAACCTGTTACATGAACTGTTGTGCTTCACAAGGGATAGAATTATTCCAGAACTACAGGAACTTCAGAAATTCAACATTTCATTAGTGGAATAAAGGTCATTGCTTCACTCACAGAATACTGCAAATCTACAAAACAAGTAAGAATCGCCAATCAATCTATTAGTTATAAGAATATAAGTTTATTTTACTGGCTGCATTTACTTCCTCCCCAACTACACGCACCAAGATATAACCAGCTCTGGATTCTGAAGTTGCTTTGTCAGATCCTTTGAGAAAAAGTACTGCCATCCCAAAAAAGTTTGAATAGATTTCACTGACCAGAAAGCAGACCTAGTCATTGTATATACAACTACTGCCTCCCTTTGCTTAGCAGGCAGCAGACCTTCCTACACCTGCACCAGGAGTTGGTAGCACATCCTGACACTCACCTCATGCTTTCTCATGTCAGAAAAGACCAGCACAGATTCAGCAGAACCCCAGCACAAAGCATGCCAAAGAGGAAAGTGCTCCCTGATCCACAGCATCTCTGCAGCAAACGGCAGTTTCTCTGGAATGAGAGGGAGCTGGCAGTTCTCGCCAAGTTGACACCAGGGAGAAACCAATAAGCATTCCTCCTTACAGGAAAATGAGCTTTTCAGCAGTATGGGCATAGACATTTAGATGGTAATAATAAGAAAATACTAAGGAAAGCAGTAATTCTCAGTGTTACACTACCATTCTTTAGAGCTTGTTCTACCAGCTCTAGTCACACCTGGACTGCAGTTCTGCAATGTACAGATTTACTGATTTACAGTGCAAAGCCTCTCAACTCCTAGAAACTCTAAGCATTGCAATCAACCATTATCACTATATTTTTAGAATGGTAATAGTAATCATATCTCAACATATTAGAACACAAGATGCTTTACACTGAAAAGCAGTACCTAGAGTGTTACTCCTCTGCAGACCCAGATGAGATTTACCTTTCCTCCATGACTTACTTCTGTCTGAACCAAGTACCTCCCCATTTCTTCCCAAAATACTAAAATCCAAGAGAAAAAAATAACCAAGAGCATTGGTCAACTTATTTCTGCAAGCAGACATAAGACTATGCAATTAACTGTTCTATGTCAAGACTCTTAGCACACATTAAGTCAGAAGTTGACTAGTGCAAGTCATTAAATAAAAATACAAGGAAAATTATATTATCACTACACTAAGTTACTAGAAGAGTATCCAAGATCTCCACAGACAACCTGATGTACTGGCTCTTCTGTATTTCCCCCAGACTCTTGAAAGAGGCAATAAAGCAACATAAGCACCTACTTCTCATAAGAATAATCTTTCTGACTTCTCTAAGGTGTTTCATTCAAGAGATGCTAGGCTCAGATGGAAGAACAACTTACCCCCAGGTCTGACAATCCTGATGTGCACAGACTCACACATGCCTGCATTATAGTTCACCTGCAGCAGGCTAGCTCTTTCAGAGAGAAGCAGGCCAATGAAAACCATGGTGCATGCCTCACTATCCATGAGCATACAGACCAACAGCTAACACACATCAGTTATGTTCATGGCAGCTTTTATAATAGCTTCCCTGTCTAAACATCTGTTGATAAGAATGATTAATGACCCTCACAGAGTGATTACTGTTCTTTGTTACAGTTCATTCTTCTGAGGTAAAATGTTTTTGTAATGCTGGACTTTCTGATGCAGAGCTGCTGCATTACAATGAAAGTATGCTTTATAGCACTAAAAATGGAAAAGCCACCAAAAAACTGGACACACCTTTAAAACATTTTCCCTATGGAAAGGGCTTCGTTGTATTAGAATGAG